TCGAAGGATAGCCCCTGTCCTCTATCGCAATTCGAGACCAAGTCCGAGTAAAGAATTTCAGAGCAATAGGAGATGAAAACCTGGCTAGACATCAACGAATGTCCGCACTGCGAATAACGCAAACAACTGACATACTTGGTGCAAGTGACCATTACTTACATTCAAAAAATTACTAACCTTCTTTCTTGTCGAGACCATAAGCAATGGCTGCTGCTGTAGGTTCATTTATGATTCGAACAACATTTAGACCAGCGATTGTTCCAGCATCCTTCGTGGCCTGTCGCTGAGCGTCGTTGAAGTAAGCAGGCACAGTCACAACTGCATTCTTGACTTCCTTTCCAAGATATGATTCAGCAATTTCCTTCATCTTCGTCAGAACCATCGCAGAGATTTCTTCCGGAGCAAACTGCTTGTCTTCCTTGCCAACTTTAACGACAACATGCGGCTTGTTGTTCTTGTCGGAGACCTAAATATGGGTTTACAGAACTAAAATGGAAGAATTGCGACTGACAAACCTTGAATGGCCACAGCTTAATATCGTCCTGTACAGTCTTGTCGTTGAAATCACGACCAATTAATCGCTTAGCATCAAAAACTGTGTTTTCAGGATTGATGGTCAGTTGATTTTTTGCAGCATCACCAATCATACGTTCACCATTTTCTTGTGAAAATGCAACATATGACGGGGTGATCCGATTTCCTAAACACAGCAAAGGTTGGGTAAGATGTCATTCCAAGTTTTCATTCGAAAAAAAAAACTGCAGGAACTTCAATAAAAAGGAGAAGACGCCAACTGGCTTCAACATGAAAAGAAAACTAGCGGAGATCTCAAAAATGAACTGCAAAAATTCTAACCTTGATCGTTGGCGATGATTTCAACTCTTCCATTTTTGTACACTCCTACACAAGAGTAGGTAGTACCCAAGTCGATGCCTATGATAGTTCCATATTTAGTGTCTTTGGTCTCCTGGAATGATACGATGTGAAAAATAGAAGAATGAAAAATGGAAGCGGTTAGTGACCTTCTTTTCCTCTGACAACGCTCCTCTTCCAGCGAGTAACAAAAGAATCAGAGATAGGAACTTGATCATGGTTTGGCTATCGAAGACTGAGGTTACACCTGAAATAAGGAAAGATGATGTTACAATTCATGCCAGAACGAGCAAGCTTGCTGTATATGAGTACAGAGACACAGAAAAACTCAAAAAAGCCACGACTTTAGGTAAGAGTGTACACATATCCCAACCAATGCGGCCCATATCGGGGTCATCGCTAGGATTCACTAGGTCAGCCCGCTTGTCCGCCTTGTCAGAGACGCAGAGGCGAGGAAAATTTGCGCGCAAGGTCGTCTACTAGTTCAAGAGTGGAATAAATTGAAGTTCTGGATGCTCTCTAGGAGTGTCAAGTTATAAAACCGTTAATTATGGCATATAGAGTAAAGACTGTCGCAAGCGAACGGAAACGGCAAAATTATAAGGTATGGGTCCATAGTTGACGTCAGATCCCGGGTGTCCTGGTGCAATTGCACCAATAATCCTTTTAGTGATTACTACAGTATATTAACATCGTCATACATCAGGTAGCAGCGCTCATAGTGATCGTAAGAGATGAAAAACTGCTACAGGTACAAAATTCATAAATTTGCTCTCTACGGCTTCTTGCACTTTTGCAAAATGCAGGCTGTAAAAGCGCAATAATCAAGCGCAAATGTTGCCAGCAATGTCGGCATCTTATTGTTAGAAGACACTACTATTTGTCGTCGCAGTTCACCGGGCGTTGATGCAAGATTTAAAGAATTCAGTTGGGCGCAATGTTGTTAACAAGGGAATGGTCAAAAATCGAAGTGGCCATTTCAGACAAGCTGCATACCAAAAATGCAGCATAAAACGCCAACTTCAAATCTGTATTTCCTATCTGCTTTTCGCCTTTCT